GTAAGTAACATAAATAAATAAGGAACTGAGAAGCAGTAACGAGCTATACAATACAGTTCATTTTAAAAGTTTTTTTTAAAGAGTGAACATGCTTTCAAATCATGTGGTATAAGTTAAATCAGTTCACGCTCATGTAAAACTGATATGAATCTTCCAGAAATTTCACAACAACAACAGATAACAACTAAGTGCAACTATAAATAAAAGCAAGTATAGCCTCTCAAGGCAGCAGTCACTCAACCCATCTCAACAGCTCACACTCTCGACTCTCAGCCCTTAATACACACTCTCAATAGGTACATGCGCTCACTGGGGGTGTTCAGACTCATAAGGGGCTCCTACAGCCCAAGCGCTATAATCCGCACAGTTAACTCACGTGCCATAGAACAATACCTCACAACCACGCCCTCGACCTTACTCAGTCATGAACCTCTCTAGTATAATAGCTCTCAATAAAGAAAGGAAAAACAACCCAAATCAAAGTGTTACAGTATATCATCAGGGAAAATAGTAGAGACTGAGGTAAACATGTACAAGAAACACTACGACTGAATATAACTACCAGGCGTAGGAATATAGCCTAAGCATGATTTCTAACATAAAAGGCAGTCAAGTTCTAGTAGTCAGGAATGCATATGAACACAAATAAAGGCTATTAGACTTCATAGTCTTCCGGGACGGACCAAGTCTCGATCCCCCATGGCGTACATCCACACGCCTGTCACCTAGCATGGGTGTCACCTCCAAACTGTCACATTATACCAAACTCCGGGTTTCATACCCTCAAGACCAGCTTTAAAACTGTTACTTACCTCAACAGTGTAGAACTCCTACTCCGGAATGCTCTTTTCTCTCAAACCGGCCTCCAAATGACCCGAATCTAGCCACAAGCAATAAAATACGATCAATATGAGCTAAAGGAAAATACCAATTTATAGGACAAATTCCGAAATTCACTCAAACCCGGCCCCTGGGCCCACATCTCGAAATCTGACAAAAGTCACAAAACCCAAAAGGACATTCACTCCCAAGTCTACGCATACTAAATTCATTAAAATCCGACCTCATTTGGTCCCTCAAATCCCTAAATTACTCTCTCCAAACTCCCAAGCACTAACCCCCAATTTTCACTTCTAAATCCCACTAATTCGGTGAGAAATCAACGGAAAAATACCATAGCTAAGGATAATTAGGCTCAAGGAACTTACCTCAATGATAACCCTCGAATTTCCTTCCAAAAATCACTCCAACAACTCCAAAGTCCGTGTTACAAATGGTGCAAATGAGGAAAAATCTCGAAGTCCCCATTTTTTACTTTCTGCCTAGCAAAACCGCACCTGCTGTCACTTTTTCCGCTTCTGCGATGCCGCACCTGCGAAATTTCCATCGCAGGTGCAGAACTCACTTAGGAGCCTAGGTTCTGCATCTGCGGCCAAATCTCGTGCCAGAGGAAGCGCGCATGCGCATCACCCTCCGCTTCTCCGAAGCCTGCCAAAATCCTCCTTTCCGCATCTGCGCCCCAGGTCTCGCACCTACGGTTCCAGTCCAGTTCCTCCATGTCTGCATATACGGCTTACAAAATGCACCAGCGACCTCGTACCTGCGGCTCCCCCTCCGCAGGTGCAGAAATACCAGTAGCAGCAGCTTCAGCTGCATTTTCCAACTTCAAACAATTTGTTATCCACCCTGACTCACCCTGAGCCCCTCGGGACCTTGACCAAACATACCAACAAGTCATATATCAAAATACGAACTTAGTCGAACCTTCGAAACACTCAAAACAACATCAAAACACCAAATTACCCTCGGATTCAAGCCTAAGAACTTCTAAACTTCCAAATTCGACAACCGATGCCGAAACCAACCAAACCACGTCCGAATGACCTCAAATTTTACACACACATCATAAATGACACCACGAACCTATTCCAACTTCCGGAAATCCATTCCGACCCTGATATCAAATTTTTCATTCGACCGAAATCGCCAAATTTCCAATATTTGCCAATTCAAGCCCAATTCCACTACGGACCTCCAAATCACATTTCGGACGCACTCCTAAGTTGAAAATCACCTAACGAAGCTAATGGAACCATACGAATTCAAATCCGAGATCGTTTACATATAAGTCAACATACGGTTGACGTTTCCAACTTAAGCTTCTACTTTAGAGATTAAATGTCTCAATCCACTCTGAAACTACTCCGAACCTGAACCAACTAACCTGGCATATCATAATATAGCTGAAAAGCACAAAAGGAAGCAGAAATGGGGGCAACAGAGCGATAACTCTTGAAACGACCGGCCGGGTCGTTACAATTTAAGAAGAGAATCAAGGAAGAAGATGAAGTCATTTTTTGTATAATAATGTTTATAAGTGTATAAACACCTCTTATACACTATTATACACTTTTATACACATTTATACAAGTGTCTATAGACGAATTTCTTCCGTGATTTTCAGTTGCAATTTTTGTTCAAAACCAACCCAAATCTCTATTAAATGACTTCAAATTTTGTATACAACCTTCTTATTCTATTTCTAACAAGTTAAAATAACACGCACTCTAAATTTCTCATAAAATTATATTCGAAATTTAAATCCGCTTATTTAAGCTTGTTCAACAATGATGAATTATCTCAAAAATTTAATTTTCCCCACCCAAATATATTTAATTTGTTGAACTAATGTTTGAGTTATAATTAAGTATTCTAAGATTGGATACGAAGCTTGACCATTTTTTTTAAATAACTGAATAGTTATTTTGAGAAGCTATATGGAGCTGGATGTTGAATCTTAGCCTATTATTATTAGGCTACAACTTTGCAAATTTGAATATAGGCCACATGGTTGCAATGTATGTGTGTGAGTTGTATTTATATGTAATTTCCTCAATAATTATTAAAAGAGATTTAGTGAACTCTCTTTAACTTTAGTAGCTCTCAGCTTTTAATATATAGTAATATAGTTTAATGTGAACCCCAAGTGTATAAAGTTCTTTGTATTATAAAATTCTATTAATATAAGCCAAGAAATATAGTTAAAACTTTTCTTCTATCAAATTGTATTCAAGTCTATCTTATTGATGTCTTTTGTAGAATTAGAAATATTGTATATATAGTGTACAATTTACTTGAGAGTTACAAGATATTAAATGAATGTAATAAACATATTCATGTATATCTAAAATGGTTCATGGATGAGTTGTTGGACATTCACAAATTCAATGTATTCATAACACTCCCCCTTGAATGTCCATAGATAATGTGCCTCGTTAAAACCTTACTAGGAAAACCCAGTGGAAAAAAACCTAGTAAAGAAAAAAGAGTACACATATCTTGTAATACGCATTGAGTGTTGCCTCATTAAAAACTTTACCAGCAAAACCCAATTGGGACAAATACTTGGTTAAGAAAAAAAGAGTACAACGCATATTATACTCCCCCAGATGAAAGCTTTATTTGATATCTCGGAGACGACGCATTCAAATCTTATGTCTCAGCTTCTCAAATGTTGATATTGGCAATGCCTTAGTGAATAAATCTGCTAGATTGTCACTTGAACGAATTTGTTGAACATTTATCTCACCATTTTGCTGAAGATCGTGTGTGAAAAAGAACTTTGGTGAAATGTGCTTTGTTATGTCTCCTTTGATATACCCTCCTTTAAGTTGAGCTATGCAAGCAACACTGTCTTCATACAATATCGTTGGAATCTTCGTTTTTAAAGAAAGACCACACAATTGTTGAATATGTTGAGTCATTGATCTCAACCATACAGATTCTCGACTAGCTTCATGAATAGTTATTATCTCTGCATGATTGGAAGATGTAGCAGCTAAAGTTTGTTTTGTTGAACGCCATGAAATATTTGTACCCCCATAAGTAAATAGATAGCATGTTTGAGATCGGGCTTTATGTGGGTCAGACAAATAGCCTCCATCTGCATAACCAATCAGCTGTGAATCGGATTCATAAGAATAAAATAATCCCATATCAATAGTCCCTCGGAGGTATCTAAAAATATGCTTAACACCATTCCAGTGTCTTGTTGTTGTAAAGGAAATAAATCTTGCTAATAAACTTACTGCAAAAGTTATATCTGGTCGAGTATTATTTGCAAGATAAATTAGTGCCCCAATTGCACTAAGATATGGAGTTTCATCACCAAGAATCTCTCCATCATTTTCATGAGGTCGAAATGGATCTTTATTTATATCAAGTGATCTTACAACCATCGGGGTACTCAATGGATGTGCTTTATCCATATAAAAACGCTTTAGGATCTTTTCGGTATAAATTGATTGATGGACAAAAATTCCATCTTTCATATGCTCAATTTGTAGACCAAGACAAAATTTTGTCTTTCCAAGATCTTTCATTTCAAACTCTTTCTTCAAACAGTCTACTGCTTTTGGAAATTTTCCAACAGTTCCAATGATATTTAGATCATCAACATACATATCGGTTATAACAAATTCAGATCCAGACCTTCTTATAAATACACAAGGACAAATTGGATCATTCTTATACCCTTCTTTCAACAAATACTCACTCAGGCGATTATACCATACTCTCCCTGATTGTTTCAATCCATATAAGGATTTTTAAAGCTTTATTGAAGAAGTTTCCCGAAAACTTTTATTAGTTTCAGGAACTTTGAGCCCTTCAGGGATTTTCATATAACCTTTGTTGTCTAATGTGCCATACAAATAGGTTGTGACAACATCCATTAGACACATATCAAGTTTTTCATGGACTGCTAAATTTGTAAGATACATGAAAGTGATTGCATCCACCACAGGAGAATATGTCTCCATATAATCAATGTCAGGTCTTTGCGAAAATCCTCGTGCCACAAGTCGTGCTTTTATATCTAACGACTTCATTTTTATCATTTCTTTTTCGCACAAAAACCCATTTGTATCCCACTGGTTTTATTCCTTCAGGTGTTCGGACTATACGTCCGAATACTTCACGTTTTTCAAGTGACACTAATTCTACCTGGATAATGTCTTTCCATTTTTGCCAATCATTTCTTTGTCTACATTCATCGACAGATCTTGGTTCAAGATCCTCATCTTGTTGCATTATTTCAACAGCAACATTATAAGCAAAAATGTTGTCGACAATAATATTATTTCGGTTCCACCTTTTGCCGCAGAGACATAACTTATTAAGATCTCTTCATTCTTATTATTTTTAGGTACCTGGACCTCCTCTGAGGTCTTATCATTTGTTATTTCACGGGGCTCTTTTTGAGCAATTACCTCCATATTATGATCTCCTAGATCATTTTCTCCTTTTTGCTTTCGAGGATTTTCATCTTTGGAACCAATTAGTCTACCACGTTTCAAGCGTGGCTTAGACTCATTTGCATTTATAGATTGTCCAACCGGGACATCAATTCGAATAGGAGCATTAGCAGCTGGAATATGTGACTTAGTCACCCTTGGTAGGTTAGTGAATGCATCAGGTAGTTAATTTGCAATATTTTGTAAATAAATTACCTTTTGAACCTCGTGTTCATATTGATTTGTTCGAGGATCTAAATGAGATAGTGATAATGCATTCCAATCTATCTCCTTTTGCAGTTGATTATTTTCTCCCCCTAATATTGGGTATACTGATTCATCAAAATGACAATCAGCAAATCTTGCCGTAAATAAACCTCCAGTTATAGGTTCCAAATATTTTATAATAGAAGGAGATTCATACCCAACATATATCCCCAATCTTCTTTGGGATCCCATCTTTGTGCGTTGTGGTGGAGCAATTGGAACATATACTGCACATCCAAATATTCTAAGATAAAAAATATTTGGCTCCTGACCAAAAGCCAATTGTATTGGGGAGACTTTATGATAACTTGTGGGTCTGATCCGTACAAGAGCTGCTGCATGAAAAATAGCATGGCCCCATGCTGAAATGAGAAGTTTTGTTCTCATAAGCATTGGTCTAGCAATTAATTGGAGTCGTTTGATCAATGATTCTACTAGACCATTTTGAGTATGAACATGAGCAACTTGATGCTTAATTGTTATCCCAGTTGATATGCAATAATCATTAAAGGCCTGAGATGTAAATTCACCAGCATTATCAAGACGAAGTGTCTTAATTGCATAATTTGGAAACTGTGCTCTTAATCTTATTAATTGAGCTAGTAACCTCGCAAAGGCCAAATTGCGGGTTGATAACAAGCACACATGTGACCATCTTGTAGATGCATCTATCAAAATTATATAATATTTGAATAATCCACATGGAGGGTGTTTGGGCCCACATATATCACCCTGTATACGTTCCAAAAATGAAGGAGATTCAACTCCAACTTTAATTACAGATGGTCTAATAATCAGTTTTCCTTGAGAACATACAGCACAAGAGAATTCTTTAGTTTGAAGAATCTTCTGGTTCTTCAATGAATGACCATGTGAATTCTCAATTATTTTGCGCATCATATTATAACCGGATGGCCTAACCGGTCATGCCAAATAATAAAATTATTAGTAAACTCCTTGTTTACTATGGCATGTGATTCAACTACACTAATATTAGTGTAGTATAATCCGAAAAAAAATGCGGGAAGCTTTTCAAGCACATACTTCTTTTCCGCTGTTATTGTAGTAATATAAAGGTATTCAACCTTTCCTTCATTGGTGGTCTCAATATGATATCTATTTTGGTGAATATCTTTGAAACTCAACAAGTTTCTTTGAGACCTACTACAATATAATGCATCATTAACAACCAATATAGTTCCTCCTGGTAGTAATACAATCGCTCTTTCAGAGCCCTCAATTAATTTTGTACTACCAGATATTGTTATGATATTGGCTTCTTTCATAATTAAATAAGAGAAATATCTCTTATCTTTTAATATGGTGTGCGTCGTAGCACTATCCAGAAGATATATTTCTTCTTTATTATTCATACGCCCAACTGAGAATGGGAAGAAACTACACCATAAGTAATATTGAAAAATTTAAGAATAAAAGAAACTACATTTATGAAATTAAATATTGACAACATAAAAAGTTTTATTCAAAATAAGAAGTTCATAAAAATAAATACATTTATTCTTATAAGTTTTTCCGATAATAAGTCTTCAGTTATTATGCTCAAAGAAGTCTCTGGCTTCTAAATGAGTAATATTTGCAAGGCTTTCGAAAATATCATCTTTATAGGCAAGGTTTGCTTCAACTTTATCATGATTATTCATAGGGACCGCCTCAATATCATTTTGAAAAGTCAAGTAAGTCTCAACTTTATTTTGTTTCCCTTTTATAGATGCTTGATAAAGTTTGACAAAATGTTCAAGTGTACGACAAATGCGTGCCCAATGATTTTTTATACCACATCGGTGGCAAACATTACCTTTGCCTTTTGAAGGATTATTCTGAGAACCCTTATTGTTCTCTTGTTTATAACGACCACCACCATGGCGATTATCATTTCTCCCCTTGCCACGCCCACGTATATTTATACGGCCACGATAATTATTTTGTCTTTTTTCAGACTTTGGATCTATCGTTCCCAGATCCGCTTCTAGAAATGGAGTTGATCCAGTGGGAAGGACTTCATGATTTTTCATTAAAAGGGTATTATGTTGTTCAGCCACCAAAAGGCATGAAATTAACTCAGAATATTTCTTAAAGCCCTTTTCACGGTATTGCTGCTGTAAAATCATATTTGAGGCATGAAAAGTGGAAAGAGTCTTTTCCAGCATGTCCTCATCATTCATAGGTTCCCCACATAATTTTAGTTGGGAAATTATTCTATATACAGCAGAATTATATTCACTTATGATCTTATAATCTTGTAGCCGTAAGTATATCCACTCACGATGAGCTCTTGGCAATACCGTGGCCTTTAGGTGGTTATATCGTTCCTTCAAACTAGTCTATAATTGAAATGAATCTTTCAAGGTTAAATATTCACTTTTTAACCCTTCATTGAGATGATGGTGTAGGAAAATCATGGCTTTCGCCTTATCCTGGCTTGATGCTTTATTTCCTTCTTTAATAATGTCACCAAGACCTTTAGCGTCAAGGTGAATTTCAGCATCAAGTACCCATGGCGAATAGTTATTCCCAGAGATGTCAAGTGCCATAAATTCAAGTTTTGACAAATTCGACATAGTGAAAACTATCATAGAAATAAGTGAATTAGAATGACAAGAATTATTATCAATTCAGTGCAGTACATAATCGTGTATACAAGTTTGTAAAAATAAAAAGTAATTACATGCAATGCAATGTTACTATATCATGCTTGACTGTAAATTAGCACACAATCATTACCCTATGTATACATGAGAAGCCAAATATATTTACTCAATAGACAATAATCAAAGAGTTACAAAATTAAAGTAAGTATATCATGTTCCGACACTTATTATATCTCTCAATAGTGTAGTTAGGCATAAATCTTAATGATATCACTATTTCTAATTTCCAGCAAAAGACACGTCAATATCTAATTGATAGTTTTCAAAATTCATATCTCTAACCAAATAATAGCTCTAACATAGACAGGAAATATTCCTTACTCTATATGATTATCTACCATATTAAATGGAACTGGTTCAAAAGCATAATATCACAAGGTTCTTTTAATATCATGGCAAAGAATTGATAGTATACTGTTCTATTTCATAAAAGTAAACTTAGAACTAGACATACCGGCATGACAATGTAAAATTAAAGCTTACTCTTTAGGAAGAAGATAAAACTCGGACGAAGCAGATAACTTCAATTGGTTAGAGACTCGTGCTCATTACGTATTATAGTTAAAAAATTTCTTCTATCAAGTTGTATTCAAGTCTATCTTATTGATGTCTTTTGTAGAATTAGAAATACCGTATATATAATGTACAATTTACTTGAAAGTAACAAGATATTAAATGAATATAATAAATATATTTATGTATATCTAAAATGATTCATGGATGAGTTATTGGGCATTCACAAATTCAATATATTCATAACACTTTGTCCTATTATGCCAGTCACGGTCTCCTTAGTTTCCTGTCTCCTTCCACCATTACCAATCCAATGCTGATCGCCTCCCTCTCCCAACTACTATTACTTTTATTTTATTTATTTGTTTATTTTGTCCTTTGAGTTTGAGCCGGCTTTGCCTCTTTTTGCAAATATATATTCCGGCATGGATTAAGCTGCCGAGATTAAATAATCCACCTTTCTAAATTTTTTTATGCCTAAGAATTCTACTTTCCATATTTTACTCCGTAATTTGATCCCTAATCTAGGTAGGTTAAGACAATTGAAATGATGTCTTAGGCATCCATTAGTCCATTGCTAATGTCACATATTTCACAAACCTTCGGTTAATTCTGATTATGGATGTGAATTTTGTCCCATATATGTGTGACTGCTCAACATGTCCGAACTTGAACGGATTGCATAAAAATGTAGTTATTTAAGAACAAAGTGAACTTGAACGGGTTAAGTTATGATCTACTCCTCTAATCCATCATGCCTGAAGACTGAAGTCATCTTAATCTAAACAAATTTTGATCTTGTTAATCACAATTCGTTATTTGACTGAACTTACTTTATCAGCATATATAATTCACTTGACCCAACCATTTTAACATATGTGCTATCAATGCAATGATGTGTGATGAGACAGTTAGGATCCTTGCACCTTAATTAATTAGAGATCAAGAATTTGAACTTTAAGAATAGACAAGTTTTTGGTAGCATATTTTACCGCTTCAAGGCCTAATATCCGGCGAATTTAAACTAGTTTGACCAATAAAATTCGAATATCAAATAATAATAATAAAACATAAAAAACTACGCACTAAGTTCCATACCTGAAAACAAGAAATTTTCAAGAAAACAGCTAATAGGGTTATGCGTACAGTGTACAGTTCAAAGGTCAAGAATTATCAAAGAATCTAATGCTTTAACATGATTAGTAAGTAATTTAAGAATACTGTCGCCTTTAGTACCCTCCACTTAATTTAAGAAAAGGGTGGGTTGCTCGGCAACCTACCACTTCCAACCAAGAGATTGTGAGTTCGAGTTATCCCAAGAGCAAGGTGGGGAGTTCTTGGAGGGAGGGAGCCGAGGGTCTATCGGAAACAGCCTCTCTACCCAAGGGTAGGGGTAAGGTCTGCGTACAAACTACCCTCCTCAGACCCCACTAGTGTAATTATACTGGGTTGTTGTTGTTGTCGCCCTTTAGTACAAGACTTACGTGGATGGTTGACAAGTAAGTTATATGTGGCATTTCTAATGTTCCTTCATTTCAAATCTTCCATTCTTCTAACGAACGAATAAATTGCTAAGTTGTAAAATAGAATTAGCTTCTGTAAAGCTTTAAGCACATGGCTACCCACCTCCCAATCTTTTTTATTTTCTGAGGATCCATCGAGCCTTCTACAACTTTTTCTCACCGCCTAAATAAAGATGCCAATTCAAAATTTAAAGTAAATTGTTTACGCTTAAAAATAGATAACAAGTGAATTTATATGCGATTTTAAGGATATAAGAATTAATTCAGCACAAATGATCAAGAATGTTAGATATGCAAAATAAAGATAAGATAAATAACCAAACTAGTTATGACGTTGAGTTTGGGCTCAGATTTAGGCTTAACAACAGTTTCGGCTTCGACCAAACCCTCGATTCGGAACCAAATATATATGAAGAGTTATGGTTAAGATAAGAACTTTTCAATAACTAAGAAATAGAGAAACAAGTTTGTACTGCCTTGATATGCGTGTTACAATATATTCATTGAATAAAAAACTTTATCATTACATAGTAGGGGAGTTTTATCCTTAGTACAATTTTAAAAAAAGGTAAAAATCCTCATTGTACATCAATTATTGATATGCTACCGACATCGGGCGAGATCCGTGCTGTGATATCCGGTTGGGTGCAAATATCACGACTCTCTGCTAGTCGTACGCAACCGTTTGTAATGCTTTCCGAGGTCATTGATGGTAGGCTATAATCTCATATTTTAGTCGCTTATTGCACTCTGATTCACTGCACTTTATTCATGTTTGAACTTTAATTGATGGTGTGTTATACTTATTGCGCGTTTTATGCCTTGTAGGAGTGATTCCAAGCTATGTAGATGTTATGGAATGAATTCGAACTATTTAAAACTTTAAAGTATGAGTAAAAATTCAAAGGATTAAGTCGGGATCGAGTTCGAGGTTACTGCCAATTCAAATGTTAGGCAACAAAACTTGCAAGGAAGTGAAATATTTTGATAAAGTGGCTTGCACAAAAGTGCTAGCCAACGTGGCCAACAAAGAGGACAAGTAAATTGTCATCAGGAATTAAAGAACAACGTCCTCTGAATTTGTTCATTAGTGCGGCGCGCAGTGCGTTGCGCTGGGCGGCGCGATAGTGCTATTGTACTGTTGTTCGTCAAAACGTGCTCTCTTAACTTTTTCATAAGTCCCTCGATCTATTTGATATAAATACATGAAAAAATATTATTTTTTGACTTTTGACACACTTTAGACATAAGGAAGCTAAGGAGGAGCAAAAACATAAGGATTTCATCATTCGTTCCTTACTCAAGATCAGAGTTTGGATTGAATTTATACTTTTCTATACTTTAATTTTATTTGTGATGAGTTGCTCCATATCTATGGACTAGTTCTCTTTAGAATTTGATGGATTCGGTGTATTGATGATTGTCTGTGGATTATAACTCTTGTTTTATGTATTGAAGCATTTTTGGATGATTTCATCGTTACATCTATATTCACTTGTTCATGTAATCGAGAGAGGCATAACTTGTGATATCTTTGCATTATATTATTTGGTGAGTTCATTAATTCTTCTTAGTAATCAAAATAGGCTAGTTGAATCATCGATTAAACCTAGTTAGGAGAATAATCGAGAGAGGTTCTCCTATAAATCAATCCACTACGCATTCTTGCATATATTCACGTGCTTAAATTGGTTCATCTTGTGAGGTTGAGACTTAATCGAGAGAGGAGTTTCTACTAAACATTTGAACTAAGAATTGAGTGAAGTCGAGAGACTCACTTAAACATTAGAAGTGAATTATTTAGAGTTAGATCCCAAACAATTATCTTGCACCTATCCTATCAACCCCTATTTTCTCCCACTGATAACTTCCTTGCTTACCTTTTTTGTAATAGTCATTAGTCAATAGCTTTAGATTTTTAGTTAATTTTAGTTATTAATCATATAAATCTCAATTATTGATTCTCCTGGAAAGCAATCAAGCTAGAAACTAAGAAAATATTATTTAACTCCAATCTCTGTGGATATGATATTATACTATACTATATTTGACTAGCGAGCATAATTTAAGTGTGTATTTTGCGCTCGTCAAATTTTAGCGTCGTTGCCGGAGATTAGCTATCAATAGTGTTTGAATTAGTTTGTAGTGTTACCATACAAGCCAAAAATTGAAAAACAACTGTGACAGCTGAAGAAGAAAAGAAATCTCACCGAGACAATAGAAAATGTTAGGCAATCCTCAACCAAAGAACTTATGGTTGGAAACAGTGAAGATAATGTGGATTTGGCTGCGAGAGAAGCAGCCCAATAAAGAGAACAAACTACACGAGATGGTGAGGAAGTAGCTATTAGAGATGCGCGGAACATCTATAAAGAAGAGAGGGGTCTCAGACTTAATCAACATCAACCCTTGCATGGAAGACCACTTGGCGATTATGCTAGACCGGTCTACAATCAAGGTTTATCAAGTGTTATACCACCTCCAATTGCATCAAACAATTTCGAGTTGAAGTAAAGATTGCTTCAAACCCTTCAGAATTGTTGTGTCTTCATAGGGAAGCCAAACGAAGATCCACACACACATCTAATGGACTTCGAGGAGATTATGAATACCTTTCAATACAATGGTGTGTCACGAGATGCAGTGTACTTAAGGGCATTCCCCTTCACACTCAAAGATGATGCAAAGCAGTGGCTTCGAAGCTTACCCACGAGATCAATTATAACATGGGAGGAGATGACAAGAAAATTTCTTGATAAATATTTCTCCTCAGCTAAAACGGGCAAGTTTAGAAGAGAAATCCATAACCTATGTCAGAAAGATAATGAAACTGTTTTTGAAGCATGCGAGATGTTTAAGAAAATTGTTAGAAAG